TAAAATTATACGTTCTACCTGTCAGGGTTTTGATTACGGCGACGCGCCAGAGGTTTTTTATTGTTTAGACGCCTTCCCCGCAACAAAATAGTCTTCAAATGGACACTTGGACAATGGATCTGCCATATTTAAAAAGTTTTCAGTTTTCACTAAACTTTATGGCAAATTATATTAACATCACTGTTTATCACAGGAAAAATAGATAGAGCATTCGTTATTGTTTGAACAATGACATACTGTTGCTGTTAACTGTAAACTGCTGTGTTATTAACATTATATCCTTAGATAGCACTACGCCAAGCTGTTTTATAATATTATGCTTATGCTTACTTGTCGCAGATAGCAATTAATATTTACCGTCGTAAGTGATAATTGCGGATAGACGGTAGTTCTCGGTACCGCCACAGCGTACGATGTGGGAGTGCTGTGCAAATATTTGAGCGAGTTTAATTAAATCGAAATTACTTACCACATCCCTTGGGGAAATACTTCGTTAGTTTAAAGTGTCACAGTAAAATAATTTATCCACCGCTAGCTGCTGGATAAAACTGTTTTATATTTATTTCGACTATCGATGACATCGGAAATGTGATATTAGTTTTATTTAACTTTTTAAGTTATTTAGCAAAATTGTTTGGTATTTTAGGTAACAGCAGTAAGATTTTTTCCGTGAATAATTTTGTTTCTGACCATCGCACATTAACATGAAGTGCGTATAAGGTGATAAAACCTCATCAAAAAGAACATTACTGTATATTTCTACCTTGACCGCTCAATATTCCGCACTCGTATTATTTTCGCTGTAGCGGAAACGTCGACGGCGCTTAAAAATCCTCAACCGCTCGCACACCAGCGATTCCGGGACGGAAATGAACGGGGTCACCCCGCACACAATCAGAGCGGAGGCGTCACACAACGGAAGCTCGACCACTCGTCGTTTCTGCGACATTCGCTTGTGACGTTTGCTAAGGAAAACCGAGTATGGCTAATGTTCCACTGCAACAACTACTTCTTTTGGCTTAATCCAGTAATACCTAATAAGCAAAGGCGTCGATCATGAAAAGGAGATGTTGATCAAAGCTATCTTTGCGCTTATCCAACCCAACTGTTTTGATATTCAGCATCAGTATCAGGCTTATAATTTGAGTTGTAGACTTGTAGAAAAAGTATGAAAAGATTGTCGCCGCTGTGTACTCGAACCCACGTCTTCGGCATTCGCGGCCTGACGCTCTAGCCTCTGAGCTAAACGGCTGATAGCTACAGCACCGAAAATCTTAACGCCTTCCTTCTACATTGTTATTTAGCATTTGAAGCATGGTTGGCGCATCTATTGTTATATCCTTTCCAGCATACAAACCAAGGATCCAGAAAAATTGTCATTACAGAACAATCACATTTTAAACAATCTCGTTCAAATGTTCAGTGAGGTTTCCAAAGATCTGCAGCTTCGTGGATATTACACCGGTGATTTCTTCTTCTCTACACACTTGATCGGTATGGCCACTGCGGTATCTGTTGTTTTATATTTAGTCTATCTTATATATTTTTATTAGAGAAAAAGTTCTTTTTCTAATCTAAGCGTTATTTCATCGTTATGATCTATAAGCTTTCGTAGTTGAAATGTCAAGATTTAACGTAATATTCGGAAGGAATTTTACTTATCTGAATTCAAAAGATATGCTTATAGATACTTGACTTCACCGTTATTTCTTACCGTAGTCAATGAATTGCGATCTTATCGATGTTTGATTAGAAAAAATAAATAAATAAAAAAACATTTATGTACTAAAATTTGTAGAAAAACATTTAGTATTTCTTACTAAATGTTTTTTTTATTGCAATCCTGATCCAAAACAATTACCTGTCACACAAATAGTTATCTCGTGTGGGAATCGAACCTACGACGCCCGACGCCGAAGCCAATATCTTGGCAACTGCGGCACGGAGTCATCGAATGTAGTAATTTTTACCTATAGTAAAGTAAGTTAAATCTCAGAGTGAGTGACTGGAATAATCCAGTTGTAAAAAGATCTCATAGTGAAAACTCTCATTTTGGCGTTGAGGCTTAATTTCTCTATAACCAAGAGCAAACTTAATAACCGAAGATCCGTAGATTTCACATAAATCATTTTAAGTGGCCTACGAAAGCCGTCACGCGCGCAAGGTGTATAACTGAGTAACTGAGTTTTTTTTTTTTTTTGGGCTGGATGAGCCACTGTTGGCCTTAGGGGCCTTTACAGATCCGACGGATTTGAGGTGGCCTGGCGCACGAGGCGCCTAGCCTGAACCTCGGCGTACTATTATTACGCGTTATGGTGACTAAGCTCGAGGGCTCCCGGGGGAGCCTCGGCTCGGGCCGTCACGCTATTATTATTACCGGTTTGGGAGGCCGCCAAGCTCTTAGGGCGCTTTGGCGGGCGCTCCATGGAGTGATCAGGCTCAAGGGTCCCCGAGAGGGGACCTCGGCTTGGGCTGTCACCCAGCACGCGTTTAGCATTCCGATTCGAGGGTGCCCGAGAGGGCCGGACCTCGGCTCGATCGGTAGCTATTATCTGACTGGGGGAATTACTAGAGCTAACATTACTACCACTTCGGAGAGCGTTGGCGCTGGGAGAAGAAGTGGCGGAAGAAACTCCAGCAACGCTTCTATCATTAATAGGGGAAAACCTGCCAGGTACGTGGCGGAACCTAGTATATGTTTGCCGCACTCGCCGGCGAGTGCGGTGTGTGTTGTGGTGTGTTTCCTGAGTTTTTTAATCCTTTCGATGGCGATAGTCATCTCATCGTCAGGGAAGTCGAGAACGTGACGCGGTCTTCGGTAATCGCGGCGGAAAATATTTAGAGGCAAGGGCCTGTAGGTGACGGCACCTACGATAAGTGGGTTGGGATGCGCGGCGGCGGAATCGAAATATCGGCGCGACGCCGACTTCAGGAATTGCGCGATGGTGGGCAATTCTAGATCGACATGTAGGTCGATATTGCGCATGAACCAGGGTGCTCCCGTGGCTCTGCGCAAGAATCGATTTTGAATCAAAGCCGGTGTATTTGCTTCGGAGCAATGTGAGCGAAGACGGGGCTCGCGTACGTCACGATAGGGCGAACTACTGCCTTATATAAGGTCACCTTGTTCCGAAGGGACATTTTTGACGTTTTATTGAGGAGCGGGTAGAGGCGACCGAAAACGAAGGCCGCCCGGTTCCTGACCTGGGTCACGTGCTGGGTGAATTTAAGCTGGGAGTCGAGGACGACGCCTAGATATTTGACTTTATTAACCCATGGTACTGGGCTGTCCAAGAGTTTAACGGGGGGTGGAATGGGTATGTTCTTTTTGTGCGCGAAAAGGACTGCCGCGCTTTTGGCGGGATTGATTTCGATCCTCCATTGCCGAAACCAGTCACCGATGGTGATGGCCGCAGCTTGGAGGCGTCGATGGATCAATTCGGGTGTTCTGCCTGTGGTATAGACACAGGTGTCGTCGGCAAAAAGAGCAAGTTCTACATCTTTGACACGCGGCATGTCATTGGTGTAGAGAGTGAACAAGACTGGTCCCAACACCGACCCTTGGGGCACCCCGGCTCGAACGGGATGCGTAGTCGAACACACGTCCTCGACGCGATAGCGAAAGGTTCGATTACTTAGGAAGTCTCGTATTATGCATACGAGACGGTCGGACACTCCGAGTCCGTATAGCTTGTATACGAGCCCGTTGTGCCAGACTTTGTCGAACGCTTTTGCCTCGTCCAGGAAGAGTGCACCGGTGTTGAGTCCACGTTGACGTTTAGTTAAAATGTGCTCCGTGATGCGGTGCACTTGATGGGTACATGAGTGTTTGGCTCTAAATCCAAACTGCTCTGGGATGGGGAGCCCTTTGGTGTCCATAAGGGATCTTAAGCGGGCTAATATTAGTCTTTCAAAGATCTTCCCAAATGTTTTGAGAAGACTTATTGGACGATATGAGGTTGGGAGAGTGGCGAGTTTAGAGGGTTTGAGGAACCCTATGACATCGGCTTCCTTCCATTCGGATGGGAAGAAGCCTTCGGTTAAGGCCGCGTTGTAAATTAATACTAGTATCTGAAGGATGCTAGTAGGGAGGAGCTTGGTCACCTTATTGGTGATACCATCTGAGCCTGGTGCTTTACGCGGGCGTAGTTTATTAATGGTGTCTATTAGTTCGGAGCACGTGACTGGGGGAACGGGATCGCGAAGTGGCTCTAAGGCTTTCCTTTCTACCTCTTCGTTCACCTTGCGGAGGTGTTCGGGGTCGATCGGAAGCATATAACTGATACAAACTTTATTACACTTTACTTACTTACACTTCTGCGTTTCGTGTGGTGAGTGAGCCGGGGCCCACTTTATAAAGAGGTGGCAACGCATTTGCAACCCTAAGGGTGTTGCAACTGTTCACGGGCGGCGGTTATCACTTAACATCAGGCGAACCGCCAGCTCATGTGCCACTTTCTCACATAAAAAGAGGGTATCAGGGCATAGTCCACCACGCGGCCCCACATATCGGACTTCATATATCGTCGAAATATTTTTTTAGAAATTAAAATTTTTTATAGTGCTAATCTCATGCACTTAAGATTAAACATTGAAATTTGTAGAAAAGGTACGAAAAGATTGTCGCCGCTGTGCGAATCGAACCCACGTCTTCGGCATTCGCGGCCTTGGCTTTAGCCACTAAGCTAAACGGCTGATTGCCACACCAAAGAAAATCTTAACGTCTTTTATCTACATTATTTTTTAGCATTTGAAGCAATCCTTGATCTAGGTTCAGTATCGTAAGTCGTGAGTACGACTCGAGGTCATTGTTTGTGGTATTGACGTTTGTATATTCACGTCAAACATCAGAAAGCTTATATACTAAAGGATAATGGGTCCTGCGCTCTTTTAAAACATAAAGAAATTTACGTATCCTATTTATTAGTACTTGTATCGAGGAGGTCCAATGTATGGAGAAGGCTTTCATCTAACAAAGGCATTTTACAATATTTCCATCAAATTCTTGATATCTCGGACGATAAGTTCTTAGTTTGCAACTTTTTTCTTCCGAGAGCCTCAGCTTGTTCCACCGTATCCGGTAAGGCTTCGTTAGATACATCCGGTGCTAACAGAGTTATCAATCCGGCAAGTAACGAAGCCAAACCAAAAACCATTGACGGTAGACCGGACCAATATGAAATCTATAAATTACAAAAAAGTTGTTTGAAGAAAGAGTGTTAAATCTATGAACAATATCGTTTTATAGAAACGTAATATGATTCATTTTTGATAAGGATTTTACAATAGCTTTGCAACAAAATGGATTTTATAAAAATACAATTTGACATCATACACAGGTCATAAGTATGCTGTACTTATAGTAGAATAATAAAAATAGAATAATAAGAAGTATTAGCAATAATTCTGTAGTTTTATTAACATTAAAATTGGCTTATTTGGACATATAGTTTTCATTTTATTAAATTTCCCTTATTATCTGAAACTATCCACAGTTTTAAATCAAATACAGGACATAAGCGCAGCATGTCAATAAACTTCCGCAAACCTTCCTAATATCAACAATCGTTAGTAATAAAGAAATCAATAAAAACATGCATGTTTTGTTAAGTAATTATTATATTACGCATCCACTAGATACTGCATTTAAAACTACGTACAAGCATCCATAAGGTGCAAATACTTACCAACAACGGTGTTTGCGGTGCAAGGATGGATCCAATCCTTCCGACAGAGGAGCAAAGTGCATGCATCGTGTTTCTTGTGTAAGTCGGAAACAACTCCGATGTATATAAGTAAGTAATGTAAAAGAAAAAGCTCGACATCAAATCTCCAATAACATATATCATAACCGAAAGCCACGACAAGTCTAAAAAATTAAGTAGTCAGAATTAGCATGGCACGTGCATTTATTGATATTGTTGTAATTCTAGTAGTCAACATATAATATATAGGAACTGTCTTTACAAAACATTGTATTTTTATTTAGCAACAAAGGCTGACATAATTAAATAATAACATTTATTTATTATGAAGTATTTTCATAAAGTTGGAAATAAGAAGGAAAACCAGTTTCACGCGATGGCTTCTGCATTATATTGAAATAAGCACATTATAAAAATATGGTTTTCATGACATATTTAAATATTTAATATCACATACGGGATAACCAGTTTAAAGCCACCTTTTTCATGTATAACAGGCAGTTTTTATGCCTTGGGCCAGGGATTTTAAGCCGCCACAGACCTTAAAACATAACAGAGTAACGTCGATCTATGGGCATAAAGCGTTGAATGACTCCGTGGCGCAGTTGCCAAGGTGTAGGCTTCGGCATCGGGGGTCGTGGGTTCTATTCCCACACGGAACAACTATTTGTAAAACTCGCATTGTAAAACATCCTTACAACACAGAATATTTGAGATGAAAAACATTGGCACTTATCGACATAAATATAATTTTTTAATTAATAAAATTATTAATTTAAATTAAACCATATTTCTTCTGTGTCACATATGGCAAAGGGTTTTTAGTGGTAACATCAGGAATTAAGTATCGATAATGACACCTAAAGGTAGCATTTCTTTTCCAACATAGGGACGAAGAGTGGCGTTAGTCAAAACTGTGATGTATGTCTTTCATCTCATAACTGTTTTATCCCCATTCATTTTGTCCCCAGGTCGTCGAATGTTAATCTAGGTGTCAACTGTGGTGGGGCCACGCAACAGTCTTTTTTGTCGCACGAATGGGCAGATCCGTCCGGGCAATTACCACGACCTCACAGACCTGCGTCTAGTGGAAGTTTAATACTTTCACATTTCTTCTGATGAGTGAGGTAGCCGGAGCCCAATTTTCAAAAACCCTCGGGTGTAGCAGATGTCCATGGGCGGCATTATTCACTTAACATCAAGTGAAACGCCTGCTCGCGTAACAACTTTTCACAGTAAAACAAAAAATACTGTCCTCTAGTCCACGCTGCCCTGTAGTCCTAGGCTCATAGAATGGGACTAAGGTTGTAAAAGGGGACACTAGTTTCATCGAGATCCCGGCTAGATGCTTTTTATGACGTGTTGCCGCAAAGGAGCGAGGGATTTATTTATTTATTTAAGGAGGCTTCAGTCTTCACCGAATTGTGCCCATGGGCAGTACAGTGGGGCACCGGTGCGTTATTCCGGAACCCCTATTAACGTACTGAAGGTAGTCAACGAGGGGGTTTTATATATATATATTTATATATATATATATATTATAGCGTCAGCCCCAAGAGACAGGGTATCTTATGAAGATAACAAAAAAGGTGTTAATAAAATAAAAGCTAAGATAATACTCACTTGGCGGTATAAACGGTTGCGAGACACATAGAATAGCGCCGGCGAAGAAGCAGCACATAAGTGGGAACTTCCGTTTACCGTAAGTCAAGATATACATTATAATAAACAATCCAGGTAATCTGAGGACAGACAGCAATCCGAAGTTAATGAACTTGGAACCGCTAAGGAAAACGGAGTTGATAGACATACCATGGCTGACAAAAGCCGAAGTGATCCACCACACTAAGCACATAGCAACTCTTCCCCGCAGCTTATTAGATCGAAAGGTACTTTTGACGACGTCCAAGAAATTTATGGGCTTCGCTTCATCAACTGTTAAACCTTCAAGTATTTTACTAGACAGTTCTATTTTATTCTTTTTCGCAGCCGCGATCAATATGTCGGCCGCTTTTTTCCTATCGCCTTTGATGAGTAACCATCTAGGACTTTCGTATAGGAATATCTTGTATGTGAAGAACAAAAGTGCTGGCGTGTATAAAACTCTTAATAATGTCCTCCAATACGGTACCTGCCAAGCTGCTACAGATAACGCAATGCCACTTAACGAGCAACCAACTTTGCATATAGAAATAAACTTTAACCTGTCTTTCAAGGAGACAATTTCAGTCGCTGAAAAACAAATGCACTTAAAGGTTAATTGTGGTATACATTTCATCAGATTACACTCCACACATATTTTACACGGCGACAATGAAATAGAAACACAATCAAAATTCCACGATTATCAACTCTATAGGATTGGAAAGCAGATGCGTTTAAGTGTCGGGCCTGTTCTGTTCGAAATCGAGACCGTGTTAATTCTGTCACCGTACACTTAGTAAAACTTAGTAATTGTGGGACATTTATTTTTTGACATTTTTTATAATAATTTTATTAAAAGAATTGGCACATGCTCCTGGGGTTCTTATACGCGACTGCATATCGCTTGGCTACTATAACGCAATGGGAATAAGACATAAACAGCATATAAGTATAGGTCAGAACTGAGTAAATGAGACCTTGGAAATCATAACTAAACAAAAATTGTTCACCAAAATTCTAAACATTAATGAAATGTGTCACCTATCAATAAATCTTATCCAGTTAAACCTTGACTTCAGATACTACGTTAAGTACAAGCATAATTTTACAACTACTGTTATAAACAAGGTATCTCAAGAAATGATATGAGATTCTCACTTAAAATATAAGCCGGGGAGTAGCAGTCCCCGAATGTGGCTTCCGCAAACTCCAAAGCAATGTACAACCAGTATGACGGCGAAAAACTTTTAGCCAATCCCAAAAATCCACCAAGAGTTGCGGTGATAGCGACAGCATTTTTCCTCCCGAACCTGAGCAAAAAAGTATGTGTTTTAATTTTAAACTTTGAAAAGGATTTTTGTTTCACTGAAGATTTCGCTGTCTAGATGAGAATAATATTACCAAACTGTACTGTAAATATATTTTTGCATACACTGTCACTGTATTAGCTACAGTTTCTAAACGGCGTTTTCTGATAAAAAAATGACGTTCCTTCCACATATAGACATATTCATCTTACGCACAAAACTTCACGATTTTTTTTATCGCATACAGACAAATGGTACAAAAATGCTCCTTTCAAGTTTTTACTTATGAACTGTTATTAACATACATGTATTAAATTACCTGTCCGAAAAACTTCCGACTATGATCAGACCGACCATGTACCCAATATTGTGCATCGTCCCGATTAGCGTCCTCTTCCACTCTTGACCAGCTAGCTGGAACTGAAGAGTTGTTGCATGTATGGGCAGGCAGGGCAGAGCAGTGCGGAGAGGCGTCATTCAAGAAATTACCACGGCCGTCAAAAAGATCGGCATTAAATGAAAGTATTATACTTTCGTGATGACGGGTGAGGTAATCGGGGCCCCCTTTTTTCTCTCAGGTGTGGTAGATTTCCATCGGTGACGGTAATCAATTGACATCAGGTGAACCGCCTGCTCCCTCGTCATATTTTCATATAAAAAATCAGCTTAGGTAAATCGCTAGGTCTTTTACTACGTTTTCACAACAAAAAAATCTCCCAGGCAACTGTCTGGTAGTTTTATTTGGATTTTTGTTAAAAGCGAAATGGCAGAAATTTTGTATTAAGATCAAATTCGACACAGTACTTTACAGCCAGAAGAGAAACATATTTGAGTTAAGGGCAGTTTCCTGGTCAAGCGCGCAATACCAGAAGCTGTTGGGTGTAACCCGTACTGATTGACTAAGACGTTAAAAAGTCTTCTTGAAACAATTTTTACTTTAAATTAATTAGCAACAGTTATTAGCAACGAATAGCAATTATTAACGAAACACCCCAGGTTTATTATTGTTTTTTTCACTTACCTCTGCAACCAAGGAATTTGGATTCTCATAAACCCACTGAACGCATCCATTGTTGGATACGTTACTGCTCGAATTGTCAGTATTATTTACGCATCTGTTGACAAATATCTTTAAAAAACTAATTATAATAATATAAGAGTACCTGTATATAATAATATCAAGTTATGAATATATAAACATGCATGCATATTTTCCTTGTCATTAGACAAATATTGTATTTTAATATCGTTTTTCGTTAGAAGTGAAATGGTTTTTTTATATTAATGTTATGTACGAAAGCTTTAAACGACTTTACGAAAACAAGTGAGGTTAAAAATAAAATAATTAATGAATTTTATTGGTTAGGTTGTTGTCGAAAATTATATGCATTTTAAAACATTCGCCGCCAAAATTTAGGAGACCAATTAAAACAATTATTGTAGATCGCAAAAAATACAACCTAATTCAACAACTTTAGATGATTTTCAACAAATACAAGTCTAATACGCTAGCACTTTGTAGCATAACACTAATCAACATGGTTGAGTACGAATACCGATGGCCTCTGTCCTCAATAGGGGTTAAAGGGTAATATTATTTTCAAAACCACGTTTTACGTTTCAAAAAAACCGCATACAGAACATAAAAACTGATTGCAAATAAGGAAGCAGTTTACGTGGTCAAGTGATCAGTGTCATAGGACATTTGGAACACCAGTAATTTAGCATGCCTTTATCCAAACCACTTAGAGCACGGACCTCCGGCAATGCGGTATTTCCCACACAAAACGCTATAAATAATTCTTCACGTTGGTCTTCCGTGAGGCCGTCGCAATCTCCCGGCCATTGTGGTGAACCAGGAGCTATTTTGTAAGCTTTGGTTATTCTACCACAGTAAGAAATTAAAATTTGATACCTGTACTCGACTTTGTCAGCGGCAAAAATATAGTTATTAGAGTGAATAGATGAGAAAAAGAACGCAATGGATATCAAAAGTCCTGTATGAATATGGAACCGGCCGAAGATATTGAAATCAACCAATATATTCTCCAGATCCGTTTTTGTATCAGACGTGTTAACTGTAGACATTTTAAACAAGAGACAGAAATGTAGTTAGATATTAATGTCCTTTGTTATAACCACTTTGTTTTAATGCACCAAATAACAAGATCTAAATTTAGTATTCAGTTAGTTTCGAGAAGTCACCACTAGATTTGAGTTTTTTCATTCGAACAAAAATTCATAAAGCCGCGCCGACCATCTTAGGCCAGGTTTTTTGACAAGCAATTTAGTTGAAACAAATTCTCAAAGTATTGAACCTAACTGGTGGTGTTGGCGTGCGATAGTCATGAACTTAGAGAAACGAATACGCGTATTGCTATTTTTTCAGGTGTTTTCTCATTCCTTTGAACAATTAACTTCGAGGACAATGACTTCTAAATATTTAAATAGGATCTTCTATGGTTGTATGTGAAATTAAATATTCAAAACAGGCCCATTGAAATGCTCCTGCGTTAACATAAAGAGCGTGTAAGCTTATTGTACCAAAAACGTGTACTTACATCAAATTGAAAAGTTATTTTAGAATATTTAAGAGAATCTAACTAATTATTTATAGGATAAAATATTATTGCTGTAACAGTTCCTGGTTTAATAAAAACCAAGTCTAGAATAAATTTATCTCACAAAAACCAACAACTCGACTTATCAAGAAAGACAAACACAAAGTGAACCCGAGAAATTTCATTTTTACATTATATAATATTAATATAAATATGGTATACGTGTATATTTATATGTATGTAATATTTTATATATTGTCATGTTCTCTACTATCTCATCTTGCTCTTTCACACCTCCTTATTCTCTTTGTTTATTTGTCGGTTGACTGGCAGAGAACACCTAATGGTGATAAGTCCGCCATTGTACGTTATTGTGCTTAAAGTTTTTAAATAAATAAATAAAATAGATATAAACGTAATTGATAAAATTACCGCTGAACCAATAGTCGTTTTTAGTGTTCTAATAGGGTTTTTATATTTAATAATACAAATGAAATATTTGCAATCAAACCTCTTCAAATTTTTCTTTTATTAATTTTAACGATACCCGGAACAGTTATCGTTAAACAGATTTTTTTTAATGTGATAAGTTGCCAAGCGTGCAGGCGGTTCACCTGATTTTAAGTGAATACCGCCATCCATGGACAACTGCTACGCCCGACGGTTACAGATGCGTTGACAACCTTTTGAAAATTGGGCTCCGGCCACCTCACTCACCAGACGAAACGCGAAATTATTATACTTCCACTTTACGCCGGTCTTCTGTGAGGTCGTGTTACTTACCAGGACGAGCCTGCCCATTTGTGCAACAGCCGAGGCTGCTGCGTGGCCCTACATTAATTATATTGAGTACAATCAATTTTGTTCTGTTAAACTTTGCGGGAAATCTGTTATAATATTATTTGTAACATTTGATTAGTTCACCTTAGTATTTTGGAATATTGATTAATTTAATTGTATTTTTGAAACAATTAAATTCAATAAAAAGGAGAAAGTATGTAGTGTACGAAAAAGCGGATAAGCGTGTCAATCGCTTACCGACCGTCGGCAAGGGACACATGGCCAGTTTCAAGAAACACTTACGACCGACACTCAACAATCTCAGCAAACCCACTTCTGCCACATCGGCGTCGCAGAAAAAGCGACCTTGAACTGGCCGTAGACTACAGATTCTTCTTGACTACATGGGGGCCAAGCCATGGCTATTAAGCTGCTCCGCCAAAGTTAGGGGAGAACCTGGTCTAAACAGTCTCCTACCGATCTTGCCATTTCGTACGGAGCTACGTGATTCTACCTAAATAATATTCCCACCAAGAATCTTCCAACTAACAACCTTTTACAGCTATCAATTAGATTTTTACAGCTGGTATATACTAGCCTAATAATAGATTAGGAATATGTTTCATGCGAACAGGCTTAATTATTATAAATTAATTTTTGTTTTTCATTTTCGGGTGAAATAAAAAGAATTGTGATAATGAGCTATTAATTAAAACGTGAGAACGTTCAAAGATACACCTTTTCAAATAAGTCAACACTTGAACAAAAACACTGCTGAAGCAATAGTCGTTGTTACGTATTATTACAGGGTTTGTATATTTGAAAATACAAATTAAATATTTGCCACCTCATAAAATTTTTCTTTCATTAATTTTAACGATAGCATGAACAGTTGTGTGGCGCAAAACCCGGGAGTAGGTAGGTATTTATTGGTAGTTATTTTGCTCTATAAAATAAAACTGCGCTATAAAGTCGAAAGGAGAATTAAGAAAAACCGAAACAGACCTAAGTCGTACAACATATCCTCCCCAACATACAATTTTATAACAAATGAACATAAGCGTGGTTTAAATGAACCCATGATGGAAACAAATGTAACGCGACAACAGATATAACGTCCAACGTTCAACTCAAGGTCTCTCTTAGCAAACTGTTTGTACATTCGCGAGTTAATTTTAAGCCAGTATTGTAAATAATTAGTCTTACTAATACTACGCACTTTACTGCCAGAGCCATACCCGTTCACACGTAATACTGAGATCCGAAACAATGTAACCAGTAATTTATGCAAATCAGTAGGAACAATGGAATGTAGTACTTTTCAGATAAACGACTTGAAACTCTGTAATGTGCCCCATGTTCCTATTTTAATTTTAATTATGAATAAAACCGTTTAAAAAATTTTAAGTTAAACGGTTTTATTTTATGTTTTTTTTTTGTTAATTTTTTTTGTTAATATTGTATTGTCATCTAAATTAAATGTGTGTACCAAATTTCAGATCAATCTGACAACGGGAAGGTGCTTAAATTTTAATTTCTAATTTTGACCCAAATAAACAAATTCCGTACGTGTCGAGCTAAATAAAACCGTTTAAAAACGATACAATATAAATATCCTTCAATTCATTCAATTACATTCAACACATAAAAATGGCTAATTAAAATACTTCCTTCCAGAGGGCTGGACTTAGACGGGAATTATGGGAAAGATATACGATTGATTGCTGGGAGGAGAGGCTCTGATATTAAGACTATCATAAAACCTGCTGACGTGACCACAATGCATAGCCTTGGACTTGATAACTAGGGCAAACTTCTTAATATCATCTAATTCCATATGAGTTATCTTTATGTCATGTAGTGATCGTACCGTGATCAGTTAACAAACGGTAATATAATAATATTTTCTTTGTTACAAACAATTTTTTCATAGTTGACAGGACATCATTAATGAAAATATTAACTTCATTTTACTTGCCTACTTTTCGTCATAACGGCAAATATCAGACTTAAAATGGTGTTTGATTCAAAAAATTTGATGTAAAACAATACAGTTTTCTGTTATAATTAAAAAAGATATGTTTAGGAGGAAAAATAGTTCATGGGGTAAAACATAGGAACATATATATCGTTATAACACAAAAAACAAAGGAATAAAATGAAACTAAATTTCGGGCTCTTTACGCTGTATCCTGTTCCTGATATCAGGTTATCAGGTTGGGCATACATAAAACTTTTGGTAACTCTGGAAACCGCATTACTACTCAATTAAAGCCGTATTGATAATTTTAAAAACATCGCCTTACTGTGTATATTTAACAGCAAGCGCCTGGATATTTGGTTACATAAAACATTTTGGAATATTTGCTATTTTTTCTGTTCTCCTGGTAATAATTGAAAAGCGCCTAAGAATAATCACAGCACCTGATGTTGCAGGCAAAGTTCAGAGCCTGTGAGTCTAGCTAACTTAAAAGTAAAAGCTAGGGTGATTTAAACTCTCTTACTTCACGTCAATTATTAGGAGGCCGTGGTACTTGTCTGATCTAGCCTATCAGTTAAATAAAGGTGTTCAATTTCCGTGCCTCCTCTTCTAATAAAACTAAAACCACGATCTCATGTTTAAACTAAAGTAATTGCCGAATAATAGAAATTTTCATTTAAAGCAAATTCATAATAAATAGACAGGACTTACATTTTTTTTTATCCAAGTTTAAGCATTTACGATAAATGATTATTTATTATATTAAAGCAACTGTTAATTGTGAATTTCCGTAGATAAATGAACAAATAATTTCGGTGCCTTGGGATTCGAACCCGGTTTCACGTCTAGACGCTTTAACAAACGAATCTAAGGGGCGGATGACCTCACGGCGTAAAAAAATGGACATCTATCTACGTTCCTTCTATTGCATTTTAGTAACTATTCAAAAAAATGTATGTTTGAAATACAGTGCTTTAAGTTTCGGTTTTATCATTCCTAATTTCCATAAACACAATCTCGATGTTACTAAGAAAAGTGGATCACGACATAACTAGCTCTGGTCAATGGTGCCATTAGAAAGTAAAAATGTTTGTCCTATGTACACCAAACTAGTTTTAACCGTGAGACTATTTGAAAATGTTAAGTATAATTAGTTTGTAATAGACAAATAGTAAACGTAAATATCTTCCAATAGTTTTATTGCATGAAATTTACAAAAATTCCTTATTTTAATGATTATAATATATTGGTTACAAGTACCAGTGGAATAAGTCTATATATTGAATCAATTTGGATATCATAAAATTATAATTTGACTAGTTTCAACAGTTTTCTCGTAATTTGTCATCCATTTTCCACCCATTTTTAAAAGTACACATGGACACATTTTAATCAATTTTCTTTTAGTTATACATAAGTCTGTTATTATGTGATAGAGCTCAATATTTATTGACGTGCCAAATTGATATTGACCGTCATTAAAAAAGAATTTAAACTAGTTACAAGTTTTTTTTTTAAATTTGTAACATATTTATCGGCTTAATTCTGAGTACGCCCTAACTTTCCTTCAACATTTAACTTTCAGCCCATTTTATTTCTGCCTTTTTAAAATACGAACCAGATCTATTGCAGACGTTTTACTTGAAGACGAACAATCTTTGGCAGTGGGTACCAGTACCGGTTTAACACAAACTCAGATCATGAACTCGTTTAGAGATTTGCAATATATGTAAAACGTACGTTATAAAACGTCATATATTCCACTTATACTCTGAATTACGCTATGGACCGAACGATGCAATGCCTAGAATTTTTTCGAAACATTTAAACCCGAAAAACCTAAATCAAAGTATCATGCAATAATCTTTAGACTTTGAAAAGCCTTAAACTATGATATTTACAGATTTTGGTAGCTACGCTTAACGTTAAAATTATTAATTTTTCTGGCTTTTTATTTCATATTTATATAAAAGGTGGTGCCAAGTTTACAGCCGTTGTTCTTTGGGTGTAACCTTGATCTGTATAAAAACTTTGGTTCGGTAAGTTTGTACGGTCAATAACTTACCGTTCACACAAGTTCTACAACCCTAATTCATCCAATGGAGGAAAGAGAGGAGAAAGCCGATGACTTTGGCTCAGATAACGATCACTGCGAGGGCTACGAGTGACAATATAACGTTTGACATTAAAAAATAAAAATTTTTAATGTTAATTTAACACTACAATTATGGATAAAAGCATATTTTTATAATATATTAAGTATAATAAATATAAATATTTAAATTTTCATCCAGACGCAAACAACCAAATAACCTCGATAATAGGTTAGAATTGGGGTGTCAATAACTGTGGCATTTCTAAAAAAATGAACCTAGTTATTGACACCCACATTTTAATACATAAATGTGATTTAATATGATATATTATAATTAAAAACTAAATAATATATAATTATCAACTAATCTATATATTTTTATACTTACATGATAAATAATTGACTGATTCGATCGATGAGCGCTCTTACGTATGCTGCTTAAAATATAGTTTAAAAATGGCTTCCACAGTCATTCAACACTTAAAATTTTTTTTAAAAAAGTTATTTTTTTTGACGGTTGGAAATTTAATTAATTACGTACATAATTAATTAATTTAATATTAAAATAAATTATTAAAAATGATGTGGTGTCGTGGGACACCAGGTAGGAACGAAGTTCCTTCGGCTAATGTAGAATCGACACAAATTGCAAAAAAAATCGTGCTCAATTTTATGAAGGTTTTCTTGATTTTTTCTTAAATTTTGCTGATTAGTTTTTATTAAAGTACAAGAAAGTATTTAGGAAATTCAGTATTTTAGGAAATAATAAATTACTTAAAATAAAAAAAACATCGTAATTCAAATTATCAACAAAAATAACAAAATATGTGTCTTTATTTTTGTTTGACAACATAAAATTATGCGACTGTCGCGCCTGCGCACGTCTCATTTAACGGTTTTATTCCACGCACTTTTTTTTCGCACGGATTTTTTCTTACGGTTTTACTATCACATTTTTTTCAGTTCGTTCGGTCGCGCAGCAAAATCCCTATCCCCTCCAAGCCTGCCGTAAGGAACTTCGTTCCAAAAAAAGAGAAAGGTATTATACACTACTCGCTTGTGTATGCGACTGTCGCGCCTGCGCACGTCTCATTTAACGGTTTTATTCCACGCACTTTTTTCCACGGATTTTTTCTTACGGTTTTACTATCACATTTTTTTCAGTTCGGTCGCGCAGCAAAATCCCTATCCCCTCCAAGCCTGCCGTAAGGAACTTCGTTCCAATAATAACCCCAGGTTCCCAACAAAGCGTAAACAATCAAGCGTAAGTAACACACCGTGCAGTAAGTTTATGCGTGTCAAATTCTTTTATTTTAAAAACTTTAACATAATTAACATAATACC